AGCCATAAGTAGAATGGCTAACTCGTGCACAGTAGCCTTATTTTTAATGGGAAACTGCCAACTGATTTAACTTGACTGCTTGTCTGATTTAAGCAGAAAGTAATGATGAATGAAAATAAATTTATAAAATCTAATGAATTTTATCATTTCAACAGCTTCTAGTATAAACATACTAGAAAATCTAGTCTTCAGTCCATTGTGCTTTTTCATCACACAAGTCTTGCTACTAGATTTTCTGTAACTTAATATTATCAGCACTCAGCGACTGCATTAATCATAAATACAATGATATTTCTAAAAATATTGATTGTTATTTAGATAATAAATTGTATTTGATTATTTGCTCAAGGTAAAGCCTACAAAGGCTATCTGTTTAACCCTCTCAGCATTACAGCAGTAAAATTCCGTATAGAAGTCTGCCTTCTACATTCATTATACATGAAAATTTCGGCTAGCTTTTAATGTATCTGATTTCAGTTTGGATGTATATCGGATGAAAAGGAATGAAGGTACAAAATGAGAGAGTCATTTTTAAATTAAAATCAAGAAAATACCACTTATTCATGACATTTTGAAGAACTTTGAAATTTCAGGACTAAATCCGTAACGCTCGGAGAGTTAAGAGAAAGGATACATTTGCAGAGGACATTCTGAGTGAAACTGCCATGTATTTGTGTACAAAGACACATAAAAGAAAACCACAAAATGCTAATGCAACCAATCAGCTGTCACAAACCGACATTTGAATGAACCAGACTACGGGCTGGTATTTAAATATTAAACTAAATATCAAGAATCAAATTTTGTAAGGCTCTTTAACAATGGACAGAACAAAAATATGAGAAGGAAATCTTTGTAAAGCAACATGAGGAAGAAAGAGTGGTAAATGCACAGGTCTTTTATTAAAATAACATTAAAAAATAATCCTGTTATTTTATATATATATATATATTGAATACATTCAAAATCTTTAATAGATTCTTTGGAGATTCATATTGCTGCAAAAAGATCAAGGTAAAGATGCACTGTTGAGAAACTGCTGCTGACTAAAACTGTTTTCATTACTGTTAATGATACTTTATATATATGATAGCATTTCAATTACCATTAATAATATTTTGCAAAATACATTAAAATTTATATAATATCAATTACATAATTCTGATTATAAAACAATAGCATTAATACACAAAACCAATAATTAAAAAACATTATCTGTCTCAATTTTTGACAACTTATTTAATAGTACAATTATTTTAAAATATTACATTAGCCCTAGAAATTAATATACTATTATTTTTTAAATACTAGGCCTACTATTAGGTTTAAATGATGGCAAAATCAAATGCAAAATGATAGCAAAATCTCCGTTTGCTTGGGAATTTTATGAATTTGGTCATTTATAATGTACAAGTTTATTTCTCTTCAAGATGTCTTCCACAACAATATTCTATCTGAGGAATGTAATCTTCAAATTCTTTCATAATTGAGAATTAACTTTTCACTCACTTAGAACAACTGAAAATATTGATTATATAGGAAGACAGAAATAACTCCGCTCCTCTAGAATTTACCTAAAATTCAACATTATCATTTATTATTCTATTAAATTGATACATACTGATATTTTTAAAACTTAAAAATCAAAAGCTCTCTAGTTACTAAAGAATATATAGTATCAAACTGTGTATAATTCTATTACACTGGGAGGCCATTGCATGCACTAACAAAAGCACAGGTTTTGATGTGGCATCAGAATAGGGATAGTAATTTTCTGCCAAAGTGATAAAAATAATTGTTATAAGAGGATAAAACTAGCTTAGTAGAAACTCAGGTAACTAATTAAACAACTAACAAAACTTATTTCATAAGTTAAGACAAATCTCAAAAGGTCATATAATGTTATTACAAGTTACTTATTACCATTCAAGTTTAGCTGAGGAAGCAGCCTAAGCAGAAGTTTAATTACTGTTTTAAAAATCCACAGAATTTCTAAATTTATTGCAAATAAATGAAAATATGGAGGATAATCATTTGAGTCTAGCAAGTGCTTAAACCTACAGAAAACTGTTATTTGTTTTGTCCAATCAAATATAGCAGAATGGTATATACTCTACCATGACAATACTTCTTATTTATACTCCATTATTCTGATACCAAACTACTAACCAAAAAATGCATTCCAGGAATCAGACCATTTTCCACACATTTATTTAAGACCTCACGCTTTTTTTTCTCCAAACTACAATTTCATGAAAGATTATCACCATGACTATCGAGACAACATCCAAAACTGTTATGAGATGTGTAAATAAAGTAATAAGACTGAAAGCAAAGCATTCGATCTGGCAACACATCCAGTACGAGTTTTAACTGCACAAAGTCACCTAGTTTAATAAGGATTTCCTCCCTATAAACACTTTTTTTAGTTGTTTATGAAAACAAGTGATATCAGAGCATCCACCTTTTTTTTATCAATTTTTATCTCCCAGATGAAAGTTGCAAAATTCCATTTAAAATACATACAATTACACCTTTTAGTTCTCAAAATGTATAACAGATGGTAGCACTGGTATTCATTCATGGAAATAATGTAAAATAAAAATTCTTTGCAGGTCTAATTTTGAAGCAGTTTTTTTTTATTTATTTCTAATATAATTTAAATCGTCTGAACAGCAACTTTTGGTGTTAGAATGAATATTTTTATGTGAAAGTTTCCTTTTCTAAAAAAAAATATTATTTGAATTCATATATATTAATTAAGAATGGCTGAAATTAAAAGGTGAGACCAAACATGTCCCATTGCGCATGTAGGAATTGCTGCCATTAGATGGCAGCACTGTTCAAATATTTTTAAATTCAAGTATCATGTTCATTTTATATGTTGATAATGCAAATTTATATTTTCTAATAAATTGCAACAATGTTAAAACTTGAAAAATATTTAGTATTTTTTCCGAAAGAAATGAAAATGTAAGTCTGTAACATGAAACGTCATTGAATACTGAATGGATATGTAAGTGTGATTCACCATAGAAAAATATCCTAAGCAGAGGAAAGAGTGATGAAATGGAAATCATGACGGTCTTCTAAATATCTTCCTTTTCAAACTTGTAGCAAATAAAGTACTGGAGCGAAAATCTTCTCTGTTTCAAATCTATTATGTCATCATCAAAGAATATCTAAAAAGACGTACAAGGATAGATTTTTTTTTAAATTATGTAATTTTTTTTGAAAAAAATATTTTTTATTTTGCGAATATGATCAATGTTTTCCAGATAATTATTTAAAAATTTTTTTTATATCTTACATTTTCATTTGGTTGCTGAAACTATCACTTTAGATAAGCATGTTAGGAGAATTTATGCTGTGGCAAAAATGCCATTTTACTGCTCTAGGTGAACGGTTAAACAAGCGGTATCCCACCATGTTATGAATTACCTTAAAGATTTACCTGTTTTTTCTTGCATGAAATAACATTGTATTAGGGGCTAGTTATCTATGTGTAAAGTTATTTAAAAAAAAAAAAAAAAATTATGCATCGAACCTCAAAGTGTTAAGGCATTTTCTTAGAAGTTAATTGAATGAAGATGAACTTCATAGGGGAAGGCCTGCAATGGCAAGAACAGACGAAAGTACTGCAGGAATGTGAGATGTGCTCTCTGATCATTACCTGACAGCTAAAATGATTGAAGAAGAGTTTAATGATACCACCATTCACCAGATTTTAATAAATGAACTGAGGATGGGGGAAAAAAGAAAAAAATCTGTGCAAGAATTGTTCTGAAAAACCTTTTGCAGAAGCAAAAGAACCATAGGAGGGAGAAGAGTCTTTACTTTTTGTAGTGGACTAAAAATTATCTCTTTCTGAAACGTGTCCTTACTAGTGATGAGAGTCATAGGTATTTCAGTATGATCCAGAAACAAAATGCCAGAGACAGAAATAGTACACATGACCTCACCAAGACAAGAGAGAGGCAAGGATGAGCAAGCCGAAGTTCAAAAGTATGCTCATTTGCATTTTTGATGGCCAGAAAGTCTTGTAAAAGAATTTGTGCCTCCAGGTTAAATGGTGAACAAAGGAAAAATTTAGGAAATATAGTCATGCATGGACTATATTTCCTAAATAGGACTGAATATAAGTCATGCATATGATATCAAGAATCAAGACCACTTGGGTGCTGCATCTCACCAATGTGTCTCGTCACATACATTTTCAATTGATGAGTTTTTGGCAACTAAAAAACATCCCTGTGGCTCCTCAGCCCCCTTATTCACCTAACTGAAGTCCCTGTGACTTTTTGTACTTCCAAGACTGAAATCCTACCTCAAAGCATGTTATTTCGAGACACTAGAAAATAATAAAATGACCATAACCGACTCACTGAAGTTAATTCTAAAATCCAAATTCCAACACTGCTCTAAAGAGTGGAAAAATGGTCTCTAATGCTGTGTGGGTTCCGAAGATAATTACTTTGACGAAAATAATATGAGATTATAATTTTAATTGAATAAAAAATCAGTCTCATTTATTTACATACCTTGTACATGAATAATTAAATAATGGCAATTAATTATAAAGAACAACTTCCAGTGTGCTGCACAAAGTGAAAGCTGTATCTCTAGCAATATGTTTGGAGGAAATAATGTGGATTTGCTAGTCTTTATCAAGTCAATTTTCAATAAATACAGAGTTTTCTAATAACAGTCTCACTATTTTCCAGACATATCATAAATAATGGAAATTTTTACAGATAAATAGTATGAATTAAAAAAAATATATATGAAATAAATTTCTTGAATAAAAAGTATACGAAAAACCTTTTTTTTAAATTACTATAACTATGGAGTCTCTTATTGGGTGTGTATAATAATACTTCATAACCTTGCACGATATGGGAATATTATCCTTACAAAAAATAATTAAATAAAAATGTCAATAGATACAATATTCAAATGCAGTTAAATAAGAATTATGTACTGGAAAAAGATAAATATACCTTTATCATTCAGCCACACAGCAATTCTATGATAAACACCATCTAAAACATTTATGACAAGAGCTAAAAGCACTTTGGGGAAAAGTGTCATCCAGAATGGAAAACCTCTTGCATTAATCATTCGATCCCACCAAGTCTAAAAAAATAAATAAATAAAATAAAATAATAAGCTGTTGCTCTTGCAAGTATTTTTTTGACAAGGTAGAGATATTTATAAACTTTTAGTAGTACTTATGAAAAAAAAAATTAATTTGAAAATGCATTTTTAAAGTGCAGTACAGCTTTGAGCATATAAAGTAAATAAGATCACAAATACTTTGGATAACTGAAAACGTAACTCATAAATACTGAATTTTAAATCATGCAATTTTTTTTTTTTTTTTCTGACAGGGTTTTCTAAAATTGTTTATGCAAAATTCTAAAAATAATTGCTCATATAACTATAATAAAATAATTTTATTAACAATTTAACTATAATATAATATTATTATTAATAATTTAACTATAATATAATATTATTATTAACAATTTAACCAACTCCTTTATTATAAGATAAAATTCAATCTTTTAATTAAAAAAATCAGTACAAAATTTTATTTTGTGACAAAAATATTACAAAATATTAAATATACAAACTCCATTAAAATTTATGCATATTGTTAAATTGTCTCAAATTTATTATATATATTTTCACATCAATTACTCTAATGCCACAGTCCTATAACTCTACCAGCTACCACTTAAATCATGTCAGTTTTTATTTAACAAAAGATCTACAGAAGAACCATCAAGTCATTGCAAAATATTAAAAATCTTTGCTTTCAATGCCAAAGCATAAAACTGTTGAACACTGGTAATTCAAACAAGATTAAAATCTAGGTGAATAGGTTGCTATATGAGAGATTTTGTGATTTTCCCCATGCATAAGAGGCAGTTTATTTTTAAAAAGTTATCCATAAAGTATACCTCCCACTTATGCACATAGCTCTGGTAAGCTTTACTGTAATCAAAATAAACAGAAAATGAGTCTTTGGCATGGTTAATTTTTACATTGTTCATTTCTGTTTCATTGCCATCCTCCACATTATTTTCATAGCTGCAATTTTTTTTGTTCTCCGTATCTACACTACAAACAATTTCTTCACTCAAAATTGGAATTGCTATTTCCTATATTTATCCATTTTGAAAAATAACTTTGAGCAATGTCTTCGTATAATTTTATCCTCTGAAATGAATCTATGAATTCACCGATAGCTAGAGTTGTTTTCATCTGTAATATATGTAAAATGTATTTTTTAACTGGAAAACCATTAAGTGACTGTTACTAATAAGAAAGGCCGAAAGATCGATCAATGACAAGAAAATTTGCGAATATTACTGATTTTAGCTGCATCTTTCATAATGTTACTATATCCCTCCCAACCCCGACTTCTTTAAATGGTTGTTGGTTCAGTTAACAAAAATCTTGGCTAGTTAGGACTCTACAGTATTAGCAAATCATCCCCCCACTGCCATGTAAGAAAAATTAATTCATTTTCATAAAAATTTAACCCACATTTCACTCATTATGAAATATTATGAATGAGAAATGTTCCCTTTTAAAGGTTATGCAGCTAACAACTGATATATTTCAGAAGATTATATAAATAATATGAGATAATCAAATAACAGGGTCACATAATTAAATACTAGTAGGATTACATTTTTGTAAGAAGTTTAAGTAACATTCACTAATTAAAGTTTGTATTTATCTTTTATGGAGATTGCTTATAATTTACAGTATCAAGCCATACTAATGTGACTACTTGCTATGTTTGAAGTCAGCACTAAATAAATTTCAAATTCAGGCTTCCAGGTGCCCATATTTGCTGGGGGATTACGTTATTAAAAATTTGATTGCTCTAGGTAATGCTGTTTTATCATAATGCGAGAAACATACATATATTTATGTAGATTCTTCATTATTTAATTCCTTTAAATATAATACAGGGCTGTAATAGTTGGTGGCAACATTCTGAATAGTGAATCAACACAGAAAGTGAATTGATGCAAAATGCCAAAATGAAATTAATTGCCCTTCTGGGGCTAATAACCAGTAGGAGATGCAGCTTTGGCAGGTAAATAAAATATATTGCAGGCATTCAGGAAATATTTCAGTTGCTGTTATAAATAAACAAAAAAGAATGAGCATTGGTTTTCAGGCCAAGAGCGGCAGCAGCAGCATTTCAGAAATTGCACATTTTGCGAACTGGCCACATACTACAGTGGTAAAAGAGGCTACTGTAATTGTGTTGAAATTGACAATTCAAGAAATCTTGCTAGATATAGGGCTCTGCTGCAAGCAATGGTGACAACACCTATCTAATAACTGTTCATCAGTAGAAGAAGATGGAATTTGCACAGGAGAACAACAGAAGGTCAATTAGCAAAAGGTCAACTTTTCTGATGAATCAGTTCCCCCCCCCTTTAATCAGATAGATAAACATTGGCACATACGGCAAGAAACACTCCTCAACCATTTGTGGACAAATACAAGCTGGTGGATGCAACGTTAAAAACTGGGGGAATGTTTTTATGATATTCTCAGAGTTCATTCATTCTTTTCTTGGAAAGACTGGGATCTTCAATACAATGAACGAGTTACGCAACTAGGAATGTTGAGTGGTTAGAAGAGCTTGAAGATGACTTCCTTGCACTTCTCTTGCCCCCAGATTTAAACTCAATTAAGAATATACAGAACCACCTTGATTGAGTAGTTCACTCTACTGATCCTCCAGCACCAGTCAATTGCATTGCAGTTGGCATGGATCTACATCCCTAACCACTTTCCATCCCTCCCAGCCCATCTAGGTACTCTCCATACACCACACAGCGGCTATTTTGGATCAGGACAAACAGGACATTTTTGGACTAACAGGTGATCATATTAATGTGATTCTCAACTGTATATATTAAGTATGATATCAGATGTTGTTATATGAAATGTTACATTATGTTACTATATCAATGCTATATATATGTATTACATCAAATGTTTTACTATCACACCTGCTAATCCCATAAATTATACAAGAAGAGTTAACAAAAATAAGGAAACAAGCTCTCACAGGCATAATAATGCTTTTGCTATTCTAAAGTCACCTGCTGTAATTGTTGCATAAATTTGGGAAACTATAACTTTACGATGGCTGTGCTAACAGAAATGTGTCAAGTATTGAAATGATAAGGTTTCTGCATTTAAACAAATCTTCACCAGCAGAAATTCATAAACTTTGTTTTCATAAGCTCAATTTGAAGTATATTTGCTAATGAAGCTTATGTCATAGCATGTTAATAAATTTTGTTTTGACACAGTGTGTTCCATAAAGTCAGGATAAATATTCAAAACAAGCAACGACCATATTGGCCAAACAATGTTCACCACAGATGACATCATTTGCCTAGCTAAAGTTTTTAATTTAAGCAATGTTTCTACTCCTAAATAAAAAGGATATTGGATCATCCTTAAAATATGTAGAGTTTTACTCAAAATCTGTGAAATGAATTTTAGCACAATTTAAAATTTTACACTGCCATGTTTCTCTTTCATTTATGTGATTACCTAAGAAGACAGGCAACTGCCATCCATTCAAGGTCACAGAAAGAATTGTTATGGGAGTTAAGACATGCATAGTTTTTGCATATAACTGAAGCATTTGAAAGATTGATAATATGCAAGAAAAACATGCTCGGATGAACATCATAGGTGAAAGCATTGATATTAAAATTTATTTATTTATTTTTAAGTTACTTTACAAAAAACATTGTATATTGTTTATCTCAATGTTAATGGCATAAATCTCTTTGCTCAGTTTTTGGATGGTAGTATAATATTCTTTCACAGAAGTCATATGCTACGTTGTAATATCAATATTCAAACAAAATTTGTGCAGCACAAGAAAAGGGCTTCTTTTTAAGAATTTATCACAACAGCAAATTATAGATATACATTTACATCAAAACACCAATGTATGGATCTTGTAAATGCACAAGAAATTATAAAACAGATCTGACTGCATATACAAATTCTTAGTACATTTAGTATAAAAATAAGAATGGAAATTTAAAAAACTACAACAACATTTTTACCACTCTGAAAATTTAATGAAATCATTATAATATAACAATTGCATTTATCTTAATTATTGTTGAAGTTTTTAGTGCAATACTAGCTAATTCTGCTAGTTTTAATACTATCTGTCATACTTTTTTGTGTTCCTCCTATTAATATATAAAATGAAGGAAAAAATCTTAACTTATTAAAATTGTGAGGGTGATAGTAAAAAATCTCAATGTATACCATTTATTGCTGATAGATACTAGAATTTAATGGTAGAACAAATAACTGACCATAGTATAACCAATAATTTTTACAATATTCAACATATATTGGACTAATTATATTTAAATTCTTTAAAGAAATTCTTTTTTCTAGTTTAAAGTTTTACATTTAAGTATATTTGCTTAAATACCTAATCATTTTATACCATTGAAAATCTGCTACCATTTCACATACTGAAATCAAATCATTCACAGATCATATACAGTACAAAGTCTTTAATCCGGACCCGTCGATTCCGGATTATAGATCATCAATTAAAATCTGTAAGATGGCTTGCAGAAATTATAAAATTAAAAATATGGAACCATAATTTATGAAATAAAGAGAAATTACGATCTAAAGGTTATCAAAATTTACAAAAAAAAAAAAAAAAAAAAAAAAAAAAAAAAAAAAAAGCTTAATATTTATTTGTTTACTTTATTAAACATTTTTTTCAATGTAAGTTGTTTTTTTAAGTTGCTTCGTTTTTTGAGCTAATACTGTCTATAAACACACATAATTTCTTGTTCAGTTCCACTGTTCAAGTCCTGTAATTGTTGTATCGAGAATATTGACTAACTTGTCAATTGAAATTTTTTTCATTTTCAATAACCTCTCTGTCATTTTCTTTGCTATTGGAAGCGTTACATCGAAACATGCTTTCGCTTTGTATATCCTTTTGCAGCTCCAGAATCGGAAACTCTTTTTGACATAATCGAAAGTTCAAGTTTACTTTTTATAACATTGCTCTAACAGTCCGCAAAAAATAATAAGCCGGATCCAATTAGAAGATTAATGAAAAACGCAATCTGCAACATTAACTGAAATAGATAATTAGATAATTTTAGCCTAGCTTATACCATCCATTATACATTAAACATGCATGCATTAACGTATTATGTGCATGCGTAAAGGTATTATGCGCGTGCGCAAAAAGTTTGTAGCTTTGAGGTCCGGATTATAGATCATTCTGGATGTACTGTACATGTATTTTTGAATGAACTTTTCGCTCAATGAGTGCTTTTCCCCCTTCCAAATGTACCTAAGATAATTAAAAACACATTAAGAGAAAAATGCATTTAAATTAAATAATCTAAATATACTTAATTATAAAGTAAATAAATCACCTACCTGAAGTTCAAATATGAGGAACATGACCAAAAACACAATAAGTAAACAAAATGCAATAACGGGTAAACTAACGCAGTAACGAAATAAATTACGTTTCCATGCAGGATAAGTAGGTTCCATTCTTCCAGTTATAGGACTTATTGCAAGAGGCCCCTAAAATTTGATACACCAGTTCATTAGAATCATACCACACACAGCATTAATTTCTAGATAATATTTTTCAAAAAAGAAAACTTTTAATTCCTTTAAACAAACGAACAATTAAAAAGAGAGAAAGAAAGAAATTTATGTACCAAAGGCAAATAGTATAATGCAGGACACAAGTCAGAGCATGAGAAATCTCCAGACATACTGGACAATTATTTGTTCATTTTAAAGATAAGCAGTTTCATGCAATTTAGTTAAAAACACCTGGTGCTCTTATAAAGGATCATGCACAAATTTGCATGTCTTTTATAGACATAACAGAAATAATCTCAGTAATTACTTTCTAGATTATGAAATATTTAATAACTGAGTTACATAAACCTAAAACAATTAATCTGCTACTATAAAAAATATAAAATGCTTAGATTACATTACCAAATTAAGAATTACCTCAATAACCACAACAATAATAATAATAAAGTTTTTCAGATTCAATTTAACCTCATAATGAGATCAAATTTCAAAATCCATACAGGTTTTTATCAATTATTTCTATTCTCTTTCAAATATTTAAGGAAAGAACTAAGACTGCAGTTATCACAATTGTATTCATATTCAACATTCTTACCATCTATGTACAGTAGTTACTTAATCTTTTCATATAAAATGTTCATATAGTGTTATTTTAACAAGATATACACAGCTTACCATTGAATAAGAACGGATCATGCAATAAATCAAACATGTATATTTCATGTATCAGTAAATGTATTTCATTATTTTATGAATAAATGAGTTAGCAATTACTTTCGAAAGACCTCAGAAATACTCTTGGTTTAAGTCTTAATAATCCTTGTAGGCTTTTCTTAAAATTATTTTAAAGGGTATTGCAATGTCTTTATATAAGCCGCAATGATCTTTATTATTATCACTAGTTAAGTAATCATTAGATAGCTTGATTCAAAATCATAACTGTTACTAATTAAATCTACTTTTTTATCACTTATTTTCACAAAACACACCCCTAGTGCATTAGTAAGTTTAGGTAAGTAATTTGGCAAAAACAGATAAAACAGACATTGCCTTAGGGCAAGTGATGCATGTGGCACATGCCTTTAAATTTAAAATTGTAAAAAAGAAATTATTATTTTCTAACATAACTGCATAATGAAATGCTTATAAGTTATTTTAAATATAAAGTTATTGAATCATCTATCTTATTTAGAATCAGAAATTTAAAACTAAAAGAATTACCCGCTATTGTGTCTTCTCTAATTCTGCCTCTGCATTCTTTACAAATCTAAGCATCATTAACAAAATAATGTATTTCACACAAGTAAAGGGAAAATTCTTATCCCTCTATAGCTCTCACCAACAGGTCAATTTTCCCTTATCTACATGTGGTCATCTCACAGCAATCAAGGTTGATTAAGTGAGTGCTATTTGTTTAGCACTGACTTTCATAAAATTTATTATTATCAATATTATTATTATGAAGTTATTATTACATAAAGTTTTTTTTTCGCTTTGAAGTTTGCATTGTATTTACATAATTGTTTAAGTGGTTTAGTTTAGTATAAAGTTAGTTATTCTCATTACTAAATTAGTTTTACAGTTCCAAATTGATAATGTATTAAACCTGTAATATTAAATGAAGCATAATTATTTTAGAAATTGAAGCATGACTGAAAATGAAACAGAGTTGACTTTTAAAGGGTTTAACTCAATCAATATTTAAATCTTGATTGTTATCTGAAAAATACAAATTTCTTAAAAATGACAAAACTTAACAGGCATGTATGTACAGTAAATATAAAGGTAAAAATGTTAGACATACTAAACCTGCATAATACAAGAAAACTACCTAGGTAATAGTTTATGATGTCAATAAGGAAAGGTTTTGCTTTTACCATAGTCAGCTTAAGTTATGAATTTAATAATTTCACCATGTTATAGTATCTATTTCAAAATACGAAAAATTTCGTTGAGATCAAGACTTGAATTCAGCCAGTGTTCAATTCTGGTATTCATCACTAATCAATATAAGTAAATTCTAATAAAAAGTATCAATATGATTAAATTCTAACAATAAATGCAACTTTATGAGCTCTCTTCAGGGTTACCACTCAAACCTGAGAATGAAGTTCCCTGACTTTTCGAGGTATATTTCAAGAAAATTCCAGGCTATCCACATAGCATGTGTTGGCTGTGCTGAGAGTAAATTAATTATGGTCCCACTTAAAAACATAAAAATTTGCCAATTACATATGACTTTATATATATATATATATGTAAGATAAAAAATATGTAAATCAAAATTATAATTTAAACTAGTGATAACCCTTTAATTCTCCCTCTCTGTTCTAAAAATTGTAATAACTTGGCTGGATTGCATCATTTCTAGATCATTCCATTTTGCATGGCCTGTGCAGCACTGATGACATAATAATTGTGAACTGAAACTTTTAACTCAGACTAAAACCTTTCTCTTCATGTGCTTAAATATCGGATAACTTTTCACTTCAGATTCTCTTTGTGCACTACTTGGACATAATTTCGCTTCCTATCGAAATAATATCAAAAATGTAATTATTCTTGAATAGGCACGACTAGAGTGCCAAGTGAACTGTGGTGACAGATGTCAGTTGCAAATATAAATGGAATTAATATTGCCTCGACTAGCAAGTTAGTTTCGTAGATATTATGAAATGAACATATTAGCATACTATGCAATCAGATTTCTTCCTCCTCAACACGGATCTACGTTCTATCCTATATAGCCATTAAGCATCAGCACTGCTGTGTCTTTTCCTTGCTATTATTACATATATGTAAGATTAAAAATATGATTTACTTTGATTTGGGAACTTCATCTCGCTGTCTTAGAAATTGCGCCATAACGTCTAAACTGCGTCATTCAAATTAATCATGTGATCTTATGTAACGCTTAATGCAGATACCTCTTGACCAATCACCCAACTGTAAACCAAAACTTTAAACTGAAGCTTTTCGACTCCCTCCCTTCTTCCTCTGTAGTACTGTGACACTCTTTCTCTTCTTGCTTACGTTTTCATCGTGTTAAGATGCTTAATGTTCGATTCCATTGCCATAGTAACAAAAATGTTCTCGAAATAGGCACGATTGGAGTACCAAGTGAATTGTGGCCACCAATCAGAATTTAAATAAATATGGAGTTTAATCCGGTTCGACTGCTTCTTCAAAATGGATGGACGTTCTAAGCATCAAATATCTACGCTAAACAACATTGCTACTCATCTACATCTCAGAGTAGTTCTAAACATCAACTATCTACGCTAAACAACATTGCTACTCATCTACATCTCAGAGTAGTTCTAAATATCAACTATCTACGCTAAACAACATTGCTACTCATCTACATCTCAGAGTTCTTACATCAATGTTTCCAAAATTTGTGCAATTATTACATATATATGTACACTTTTATAACTATAATAAGAAATGTTTTCTTCACTGAGGATTGAGATTAGGATTTGCCTAATCGGGATTTAAAAATGTCTTTTCTGCAGATATTTTGCAGCTAAAAGAAAGAAATCTATTTAATGATATTTTAAAATAAATTCAAGTATTTTATATTTATTTAGCAGCACACATAAGTAAAAAATATAAGCACTAAATTTCGTGAAGGTATGTCATATTACTGCTAGAATTAGTTTCATGAGTATGCCAGAGGAAATTGCTATTAACTAGTGTTATTAACTAATAAATAAATTTAGAAGGAAGAAGACACATTAAATGATATGAATAACATTAAAATAAAATTAATTGCTTAAGGATTAAAAACTGAATTACAAAAATTGACAGTATTTTGGCTCATAGAGATATATTAAATGGTTAGCCTAGACGACTTATTATTATTATATTATTATTATTTTATTTTACTGCAAAATGGCAAGTAAGACATTTAAGAAAGAAGAAAAGGTTTAAAAGATTTTTGTTTTATATGAGAATGGGGAGAATTTAATTTCTTTCAACATGCACTGCACATGCGCATGCAAATCTCTGGATTCTTGAGGCTACTGCAAAGAATTTGTAGGATCCCTTACAAATTCTTTGGTTACTGGAAACTAGATGTCTTTCTAAAAGACAATCTGATTGGTGCTGCGAAATTTGGCTCTATGCCAGCTGTTCGAATGAGGCTCACGCGATACATGATTTGCCAGGAAAGTGATCGCTTCTTCCGATGTTGCCGTGAAAATCTCTCTCTCTCTCTTTTTTTTTTTTTTTTTTTTTTAAGAATTGCAGTATAAAATTCTCCGACTTTTCCAGATTTTGACCAAAATATTTAAATTCCGTGACTTTTTCCTGATTTTATTAGTCAATTTTCGAATTCCCTGACTTTCCCGGTTTTTCAGGTTTTCCAGATAGCATGGCAACCCTGTTTCTTTGAAAGCGGAGAAATTTGCTTTTAGTTTCTTGAAATTTTATTAAATATATTTAATAATGCTGCAAATTATTTGAATTGAATGTCCTCTCTTTTTCTCTTGAGACTGAAAACAAATTTGTACCACATATAAATATCTGCAGTACACACAACATGAAGGGAAATTCAGAAAATTGTGTGGCAGATTTTTTTTTCAATATCAGCATTAACTGTACCAGTGTTCGACTTCTATTGGGGTGTAGAATGAATTAATAATTGATTTATATAATTTATTGATTGATTGATTATACATGTGATACTTTACAGAGCTAATATGTATCAATCAAGGAAAATTGAGTTTTGATTTCAAATTTTATGTCATGCAATGTTAATAATAAATTAATATGCAAGTACAATAGTGAGATTTTGAATGCATAAATCTAACTTCCATTCATTAATATAATTTTTAAAAAAATTGGTGTTTAGCAGTATGCCCTTTTGAAAAGTTTTTGAAAGTTTGATATTTATAATTGAATAAGATTTAAGCTGATTGTTATCTTTCATATAGCAGGATTTCTTATTGTATTTACATGCTTTTCGTAAATATCTGATTCTTTGTCAGTAATTAAAAAACACAAATCATCAAAGGAAGGGAACTGGTATTCCACTGTGATAGAACAAACATCATGTTTAAATGCTCTGAAAATTGTATGTTGAAACTCTTTAAGAAGCAAATGAAAGGATATGTGCAATATGGGCAAAAGAAAACACTTTCTATTATGTACACAGAGTTGTAAATAAATTTAATTGTTTATACTGCTCAGAAAGATGTATTTGGCTTGAATCAAAACACATGCATGAATTATAATACTTATGTATTTATTCTTCTTATTCACTAAAACAGCAATTTTATTAAATAAAGAACAATGCAAATATATAAATAATTCATAATAAAAAATGAGAATTTTCAATATGAATTACTTACTGAAAATAAATTTCGAACAAATGCCCTAAAAGCAAACTTAATTATTCTTAATAACTTATATTACTCTCTCCTCAATAAATAGAATATCTCTCCTCATATGTATGCACATACAAACACACACACACACACACACACAAAAGTTTTAAAGTATTAAAAGGTAAATAATTATCTTTAAACACTATTCACTTTTAACAAATTTATGCAAGTCTGACTTAGAAATTAATTTGAATATCACAGAAATTATTCATAATACCACATACAGTAAAAAGAGGTCGTGGTTCTGCAAGTAGCTCATTCTGAATGTCTAAAGTACCCCAGCGATATGCTAACTCAGCACAATGCCTTTTCCAAGATTCCAAGTATAGTGTTGCCCATAAAACATTGAATAATGCGAAAACAACAAAGCAGATATCCTCTGTAGCCTAAAGGAAAAGATTTTTATGATAAAATCTCACCTGTTTGTACAATAAAAATCAAATAATATGCAGAAAATATTTAAAAATATTCATTAATGTAGGGGAAAAAATATAATGCACAAAATGAAATCATTACACATAAAATTCAAGGAGTAGATTAAATCTCCAGGGTACAAGTGTAATAACTTCAACCATTATGCCAAATGATATACGATAAAATACAAAAGCATATCAAGTTGATACTGCATATAAAACGTTACATGCTTTTATACTTAATAAATATGTAAGTATTTATAACTGAATCAGATTTAGGCTGTTTATTATCTTGCATATAGCAGGATTTCTAACTGTTTTTGCATGCTTTTTGTAAATATCTGAATATTTCAAAATCTTTGGTTCTTTGTTAGTAATTAAAGAATATATATCATCAGTGTCATAAGAATATATATCATATAACTTGTTTCTCAATATGAGGCCTATTAGACAATTCTAAATCATCAAATTTCTATTAGAAATAATAAATATATTATAATAAATTACAAATAATAAAAAAAATTCATTATACATGAAATCTCCCATGGTAACTACTGCTCTTTGACGATCAATTTTGAAAGAGACCATTATTTTTGAGTACATAATTAAAAATATTCAATATAAAATCATCAGATTACAGTCTATCACTTTGAAGAGTTCAATATAAAATTTTCAAAAATTTATATATTAAAAAAACTGGCAGACTATAAGTAACCATGGTTAATACTGCCAGTCATTTGGCAAAAATCCACAAAGAGTTCTGAGATAAAGAGATACTTTAATACAGTCCATTAACAAATAGGCTCTCAGCTCTGCTTAAATAAGGGATGGTTTAATAGTAAGGAAGTAATATATTTTTAATATCATTTACAGGTAAAAATTTATTGAAGGTTAGTTTTTTAACACAGGTATAACACTTGGAAAGGAAAAATGTACTTGTGTATTTTCCAGTACCTAGTGATACACTGCCAACGGTCTAATGACACATTTTGGCAGTGCTATCTATGATATCATAGATAGCAAATTGATGAAATAGGTTTTTTTATTTCAAGTTGATACTGCAGGACAATTATCCAAGATTATTATTCTTCACAATTTGTCTCTTCTTCCACACACATTTGGCTCAACTTAAAGGCAAATGAATTTTGTTGAACAAATTCTCAGTTCTTATTCTAATGCTTCATTAGCCTTTTTTGCTATTACATTGCTACTGAGTACCTTCTGCCATGTACAGTTTTGCTGCGCGAGAATTGAAACACTCATTATTTTTGGCAAACACATGTTCAAAAATAATGGGAAAAGGTTACAATGCTCCTATTACTCAGTCTGAGATTGATGCTGAATACAAAAGATGCCAATTTGTAACATCCGTTAAGCCAAGGGGGGTGACATTAACAAGAAAAGAAAAAGAAAGAAAAAATCATCTTTCAGAAGAATCTTGAACAGCTTCTAGGATTTCATGGCAATAATGTAATTATAATTGCAAGAATACACATCTCAAGGAACTTATAATGACAAAAATCAACAATTTTTGAAATTAAAGTTACTCTATTTAAGCACATTTCTGATAATGGTATATACTCTGCTGTAGAATGAGCACTTTAAAAATGATCATCCTCCCCATAAAATGGAAAGGTACAAAGAAATTAAACTTTGAAAAAAAAACTTACCTGATCTCTTCCATAATAACACAGCCACATAAACAGTCCAAAAAATGCAGGCATCGTCAAAGCTTTAGTATAATGCCCTAACCATGCAAAGTAGATGGCAATTTTTACACCAAAATAATCACAAATATCATCTGCAAATAAACATATAAAATTTAAAACAACAGCTGATTTAATAATATTAAAAAAATATTATTTTTAAAATGCAGTATGTATTATTTCTTTTTATGTATTACACTGAAAGCTAGACTACCTGACATTCAACTAATTAACGTATTTGACGGCATATAAGACGCACTTTTTTTGGTCTCAAAAAAGTTACCTGCATCTTATACATGAAGGACACAGGTTAACTTTCAATACTGAATGCTATTTTTAGCCCGGATAAAGGTCTAGACACACATAACTTTTTCTACATCTGCCATAATTATTTGCGCATGCGTGAAATATCTGTCGCCAAAAAGCGCCAAAGCTCAAAGCTGATGTTGATGATCGAACAGGTTCGACGGCCACATTACATCTATGGAGCCTTTACTTCTTTACATAGACTTTCTTTTACTCAGCCAACACACGTGTTGGTATCAGTGATACTCTGTATAAATATGTCGATATCAGTGTTTAAAACTATTTGTTTAAAAAAAATACTCTGGAAAATAATATGACTACAGGAAACAAGAGATTAAGCTATACAATTCAGTATAAACTAGGAGTGTTAAACTACGCCAAAGTGCATGGAAACAGAGCAGCAGCAAGGCATTTCGGTCCACCACCTACCGAAAAAATGATACGTACTTGGCGAATGCAGGAAGATCAACTGAAGACTGCTAAAAAACAAAAACATAACCTTCGATGCCCAGCTTCATCTTGGCCTGAACTTGAAAATGCCGTAAAAATGTGGGTGATAGATAAGAGGAAATCTAGGATAAGTGTTTCAACCAAAATGATAATCAATGAGGCCAAAGGATTTGCAGAAAAACATGGGAATCAGAACTTTTCAGAGTCTGAGGGCTGGTGCTACAGGTTCATGAAAAGGCAAGGCTTATCAATATGCACAAAAACAACTATTGCACAGAAAATGCCAGCAGATTATGAAGAAAAAATACTAGCATTCATAGGTTTGTTATAGTAAACGCACGCAAGAAAACTTCTTTTGAGCTCGGTCAAACAGGAAATATGGATGAAATTCCACTCACATTTGATGTACCATCCAACAAGACTGTGAGTATCAAAGAGTCTAAATCAAAAACCATAAAAACCACAGGTCATGAAAAAACCCGATATATGGTAGTTCTAACATGTTGTGCTGATGACACAAAACTACCACCATTTTTCATATTCAAAAGAAAAACTTCCAACAGGTGTAATCGTTCATGTTCATCCGAAAGGCTGGATGGACAAAGCTGGAATGAAACTGGTTACGGAACGTATGGACGAGGCGACCTGGTGGACTCTTAAAGAAAACCCTCTCTTTTGATTTTGGATCAGTTTAGCGCCCACTGAACTGAAACCACAAAGAAGAGTGAGAGAATTAGAAACCCAGATAGCTGTCATTCCTGGTGGATTGACTAGCCAATTGCAGCCTTTAGATGTATCGGTGAATAAGCCATTTAAGGAAAAAGTGCGAGAACAATGGAACAAGTGGATAGGAGAGCCACATCACGCCCTCAGGTAGAATGAAGCGGCCCTGTATTTCACAAGTGTGCGAGTGGGTAAAAAGATCTTGGGAGGACGTAAAGGCTGAAGTAATTGTTAAATCCTTTAAGGAGTGCGGAATCAGTAATGCTCTTGATGGAACAGAAGACGACGCATCATTCGAAGAAGGTGATACTAGCAATGACGGAAACAGTAGTGATGACGATATTCTCGTTTTCGATGATGATGATAGTGAAACGGATTTTTATGGTTTTGAAAGTGATTAAAGTCTAATTTCATGATAGGCAACATTTTCCTTGAATCTGTGTTTTTTGTTGTTTCTGCTTTATTTTATATTATGTTTGATTGCTTGCCATTCATTCATTTATTCATTATTGAAATTTACATATCATGTTCAAAATAGCTTGCCGTTTGTTAATTTTCCTTAATAAAAATATGTTTGGTAATTGCATTCAATGTTTGCCTTTTATGAAACATGAGAACTAAAAGAAACCACATTTTAAGTTATTGTGGTACGCTGTTGCACGGCTTATTGAAACTTTTTTCCTTTATGTGTGGCCTTCTAAATAAGGGTGCGTTTTATATGCCGTCAAATACGGTAATTGAAAAACTCAAGTAGCAGGAATATTTTTAAAATTTTATATAACCCTTTGAAAAATCAAGCATATCAGCAAAACTGTCACCAAGCAGTGTAAATCAGCACAGTAATGGATAAGTGTGATGTCACAACACAATTACAATGTCTTCATCTTGATTTTATGTAAACCAAATTAATTCTTGATAATTCAGTTCTGTCTGTGCACAGAAGATATAAGTTAATTGCTACTTTGATGCAGTTTTATGACACAATATTTCCCTCTCAAAAATATCAGCTACTTTTCCTTTTTGTGTGCGTGATAGTCTTGTTAACGTCTTCAGCCACAGCATTATCACATTTTTCTTGATCAACAAAAGATTGACGGAAAAAGCATTAGGATGTTATTCTAAATTTTAAAGATATTTGTCTAAGGTTTCAGCATGGCTAATTTTCACATTATTTGTTGCATCATCATCCTCAGCATCATTTTATCACTACACTTTTTATTATTTCTTCCAGCAGAATGATTTCTTTATCACTCAAAACCTGGTTTCTTGCTTTTTACCTCCATGCATTCCAAAATGTCATCTTCAATGTATTTGCATCATTCTGTTCTTTGAAACCCGACAGTGAATTTGTTATCAGTTGGTGTTTGACTGTTAGCGTTGCTTTCACCTTTAATACATGTAAACAACATCTTTTATTGTAATGCACAACAAGAAGATGATTAGATTGCTCATCACTGATATGATAGGCCAAAGAATCATTTAATGATTTATTTAAATCAATTGGTAGTTCACTTAATACAGACCTTGGTTGATAAGGGCCTGGTTAATAAAGGTTCGTCTACTACTATGCACACATGCAAACCCTCTAACTTCAATATCAATACTGACTGCCCACAGTTGGAAAATCTAAAGACTTCTCGGTTAGAGTAGATTGAGGTATTATCGCGAAGTGGTTGTTTCACTTATCGCCAAGTTGTTGTTTTATTTATAGTAATCTGAGTAGTTGAATGTTATGGAAACCCTATTATCACATAATTGGTTGAGGTAGATTTTGAATGATGGGAAAGATTTGTAAGGGCTTGTGGTGTGTGTTGGTTAGGAAACACATTGCTTGTTTTGTGGTTTAGATGGTAGAATGGCTGAATGTGTTAAGATTAATTTGAAGCTTTTGTAGGATTTAGAATGAAAAGGGAAAAGAGCATTAATTGAGTGGTGTGTAAATGAAGGTTAGTAGCCATTATAATTGTTCTGTGTGTAGGATGGAAATGTGTATGGTTGAACGTCGGAGGATACTGGCACTACGAAGAATATTTTTTACTCTTATTTTTGTGAATTTATGTGGCAACGTCGTTATACAGATTCTAGTTCAGATAATTTTAGGAAGTTTTTGGATGCTGTTAAGGAATTTTATATGCCGCAGTCTGAAGTTGTAGAAATTTCTAAATAAGGTAATACGATATTTGCTTTGTGTAGTGCTTAGATGCATATGATGAATTTCCTTTTTTATGTTATTTTATTGAGTAATGCATTTACATATTTTTTGTTTGGCTCTACTGTACAATTGGTTGCTCTTTTGATTTTTTAAGCGAAACTAGGTTGATGTGTACATGGATAAAGTCAAGGGGGTGAGCAATGCCAAGTTTGTGCAATTCTCTGATTTTTTTTTTTAAAGTGAAAATAGGTCGTGTACACAGATACCGAGTTTGTATAGTTCTTTGACTTGTTATTTTGTCTTTGTGTAGCGGTGATTTTTGGTGAAAAAATCGCCGCCACACAAAGCCAAAATAACAAGTCAAAGAACTGCACAAAATCGGTATCCGCATACCACCAAAAATCGCCAATGGGCATCTGTAAATATATTTTTACCGACTACTCTAAAAAACATCATCAGAACCAGATTAAAATATTAACAAATTACTAGCCATATTACATAATAAATGAGCCCACATAGTTAATTTTTTAATAATATGTTATAGAGTGAAATGCAAATTTACTGTCACTGCCTATAACTTGTTACTAAAGTAAATCAATAATCAACGACAAAACTTCATTTTTAACCAATAATTTGTTAGAAATGGAAGTCTGTGTGATTATTTACTTCAACCAGTTGTTTGTCAATATTTTAATATGACAGAAATGCTGCCTTAAGGGCATTTCTCTGAAACAAATGATCTTTTTATAGAAGATGCATACATCTATATAAAAGACAAAAATTAGGCAAAAAAGACAACTTTGGATTACACCTCCCACAGATTTATTTTTACTAATTATGTACTGTTTTCTAGGTTGTGTTAAAGATTTTCCTACAGGATGCAATAAACAACACAAAAGAAGAATATGAAGGTAACCTTTATCAATTAAATAAAGGATGCAGCCATTTAAGACTGAACACTTATAACACTAAATGTTACAAACAGGTTACATGTTCTAAAATGCTTACTCAATGGTTGAGGCTTCATAAATGCCTGCATCCATGTCTTTTTCAGTTTATTAAGATCTTCTGAACTGTGCAAAGGTAAAACTTGTGATATAACACCTTCAGCTAAACATTTTGGAACTAAAAGCAAATAATAAATGTATGAACAATCATCATTTAAATATAGTATAAAACAGTTATTATCACATATATTATCAGCTATGATGCAGCAGCAGCACATCAGCTATTATGATGCAGAACATCATAAGGAACTACTGGAAGGAATTCTAAGGCAGTAATATTAACCCTCTCGCTGCATATCCCACAATTTCCACAGGTAACTTAGAAGTTTGCATGACAGCGATTTCCGCGGGGATGCATTTTTTCTCTTTGCTTAACTCTGCATTCAGCTCTTTTCCCATTCATGGTTTTATTTTAGGTTTTCTGTGATGTTTAATTGTTTATTCAGATCTGGGTTAACAAATGACATTAGTTGTCCATATTTCTGTGAAATATACAAGCATGTTTTGTACCATTTTACACATTCTTTTCAAAGCTCAAAGATGCCTGTAGTTCAACTTTCAATCCCATAAGACTTAATTGCTCGACATTTTGCTGGCCATATACCAGCAAATCCAATCAAGAAAAGACTCATAGACAGTGTGTTGTTTGTTGTTCAAAACTGAAACTGGCAAAGAAATTCCAAGAAAAAGTGAATTTGGTGCAATGACTGCAAGGTAGGCTTATGTATCGAGCCTTGTTTCAAAATTTAATACTAAACTTCATTTCTAATAAATGTTTTGTAAGTATTTTGCACATTTTCATTAGCATATATGTTTTACCTTTGTATTTCATAAAATAAATCACAATTTAACCAAGATTAATTTTTAAAATTTTTCTTTTATATGATTATTTTTCAGTTTCGATTTTCCGACAACCTTTACTTATGGTCTAATTCTATATTTGAAAAAAAAAAAAAAAAACTCTTTTACAAAACTTTCTGGCTATTTTAACTCTAAAATATATGTAGATGTGAAATATCTAAAAAAAGTATGCAATTTTTCAACTTACATTGATAAAAAAAATTATGCAGAGAGAGGGTTAAAACCCATGAGTAATAAATCAGTCTATTATTTTTCTTTGCTCTTGGTTCTCACTTTATTGTTGTTTGTTATTTTAAGAAATTCCTAAAGTATTCTTAAGAACTTTAAGGGGGGGGATACATTCTGCATTTTTCTTAAAATAATTTTTGTGCCTAAGCAAATTACTTTCTAATTCTATATGATATTATTAATTGATCAAGAATGTGATACAAAATCCCAATTGGAAAATTTTTGATAACTAAAATTTGAATCACATGGAACAGAACAGGGAGAAAGTAAAATTTAAGACATTTGGAGACTTCAAAGATACTGCAACCTGATTCATCAAAATTTCATATAATATAGGATGTAATTTTAAATTCATACAAGGATCAGAAAAAAAAAAAAAAAAAAATCTTAAATAATGACTTCCAAGTTTATCTTCAAGATAGACAAAATACCATAGACTAGTACTTGCTATAGAATAGGCCAAACAGATCGCTACGATGAAAGATAATATGAAATTAGGATGTTCAAAATGAACATTTTCCAGATATATGAAGAGTAATTCAAATACCAAACTCATGAAACAAAGAATAAATCTCTTTTGGTGAAACCACTTGTTGATAAAACAGCAATGGTAAAATAGAACATTGATAAAATTCCCGTACTTTCATCTTCCACATATTTTTAGTTTTGAAGCAAATATGGTATTTCTTTCCCTAAAAGTAATAAAATATAATAGCACATAAAATTCAATTAATAATATTTTAGGATCACAACTACTGATATCCATACCTAGAACTACAGTAGGGATCAGTTTGAATGTTCTACAATCATAGATCAGAGGGCTTGGAAAAATGAGTATTTTTCACATACAGCTTTTATAATAACTGAATAAAATAAAAAGCATAAAAATTATGCAACTTTTTTTTTATACAGTTGTGAACACAAAACTATGCTTAATAAAAGTGGATAACTTTGAAATGAGATCTCGTTCCAGTATACAGATGATCTATGTCTATGAAACATATACCAATACATTTCTCAGTAAGATATACATCTTGTATTTATGAATCATAATGCAAATATAAACAAAATGGTTTTCATACTCAAAAGGAAATCAGCATTCTGAAAATAAAAGTAAAAAATTGCTATAAAATCATTGATTCAATTTCAAATAACTTTACTTCTGAAATTTAATACCATGGATGCATGAAATTAAACGAATATGGTCTCAATTTTGTGCATAAGAGTCTCACATTATGTCTTTCAGTTACACAAATAACAAATAAAATCAAATTTAAGCTCTTTGCATATTCTTCATTAGCATATTATTGTTACTAACATAAAAATTTGAGCATTATATTGCATATAAAATTAAATTTATATACATTATAACTCTCATCAAATAATTTGTTTCTCTTTCAAATGGCTAAAATTGAAATTCATCAAAAAAAAAATTTCAGATTAAAAAGTAATACGAAATTATTATGTAAAAGATATAAAAGTAATAAACTGTTTATTAAAACATTATATACAGTGTGTATGTCAAGACAAATATGTCCTAAATAGCATATTTAAACAGATATAACATGTTGTAAAAAAATATTACCTATAGGTTGACCTTCAATAAATTTTATATGAAGAAGCTCATCCTTTTCAGAAGCTCGCAAACCATACAGCATATTTAATATTATACTTTGTCTTTCTTGACTACTTAAAAATACATCCTTGTTCTCAGATTGATCAAAGCATTCCCGCTCTTCATAAACGAATTCTTTCATGCCTCCTCCAAACTCAGGTTTCAAAGGCTTACGAAGTCTTTCTTCTTCAGCTCCTTTTAGTAAACTAATAAAAATATATGATGAATAAATTTCTGAAATATGTCACTAAAATATAATATCTGAAATGCTTCTAGATTTAAGCATTATATAATAACTAACATATAAAAACTACAAAAGGATGAGGGCTCTACTCTTATATGCGCCCTAATTTCACCAAATATGGCAATATGTGTTCTGCGCTGGTTTTTGGTGCGATTGCGTGTTGTATGGCAACCCTGTTGACATTCAAAAATCTTTTGCTGGAGTGGCTTAATTGCTCGTTGGTTCGTGTCGTGCATGTTTTGATATTGGCCTATGTTGTAATGATAGATGTGGTGGCAAGATTTGAGTGACATATTTTAGATTGTGTGGAAAATAAATTTAGTATTAATAGGTACGATATTGTAGTTGTTAACGAGTCTTTTGTTCACGGGTGTGTTTATGAGGATTGAAGTGTATTTTTGGAATTTCTGTGGGACTTTTAAAACAGAGTCCGAAATGCAGAGCTGCTATGAGAACTCGATGAAGAAGGGCATTTCTGATAGTTCTTGTGTGGATTTGCAGTCAAATGCTTGTTACATAACTGCCAACCTCTAAAGATAAAAATTCAGAAGATTTCTTCCCCAAATTCAGAAGATTTCTCCAAAATTCAGAAGAACACGAAGAATTAATATCATGCTTTGATATTAAAAAAATAACAATTTATACAAAAAGAAAAAAGAAAGTTGTACTTACATTAGTAAATCTCAATTAAGTAGTAACTAAAAAATTTATTAGGAAACATAAAACAAGAACTTAATGTTACACAAAAAAATTATTGCAATGAATTTAGAGTGCATTTTTTGGCTTTAGCCAAAAATTCTTTGGAAAATTTCCTGTCATAACAATTAGTTTCCTCATAACATTTAGCAATTAAAACATTTTCTAGAGTTTTTGGTGAAATTGAAGAACGGAACATAGTTTTGTTTTTCTTCACAACACTGAAGACTCTCTCGCACTCAGCATTACTGTGTGGAATTACGAGAATAGCACATAAAACTTTGCTAGTCTATCATATTTTGGTGTTCCATCAGCTCTTTTTATTCTTTTTAAAGTACCAACCAACGAGAACATCAAGTCCATCTTCTCCAGAACTGGCAAAGTCTTCAAACTGTGCAGCAGAAAATTGGTTCTGTAGTTCATCTAAAGCATTATTATGGCATTCATTTTCTTTAATTGTTAACAAAAATGGAAATTTATCAATAAAAAAACGAATCTTTTCAAAAGATGAATTTTCAATTTGTTTCAAATTTTCCACTTCAGCATTTAAAAAAACTTCATTTTGCAATAGAAACTTCCTTACAATGTAATCACAGGCTGAGGAAAAGTACTTTCTAACACATTGAAAAATTCTTTTTTTCTCATGATCTTTCAAAGAATTTACAAGTTCCCTGGTTTGATTTCCAATTATAAGATCATTGTCATCCTTTTGATTTGCCAAACTATTATAGGCAACACGAATCAACACACTGTTTTTCACAGCGGACGGTTTTACAAACTTAGTATAAAGTTCTTTCAAAAGATCATTAAGAATTTGGATAAGCAGGGAAGATTTTGGCGAAGCTGATTGTAGAAGGGTATTTACACTTTCAAAAATCTTAATGGTACTTAACACAAAACTACAATATGCTTTGCTCAAATTCGAAGAAAGAATATAGAAAATCCTTTCCTCTCGGCTAATAGAAGGCTGTTTCTTCTTCCCTTCAACTTCTTTAACAAAGTTGACGTTTGAGGAGTCTTCTAAGCATTTTCTTTTTAAAGGGTTTGATTCTGTGTGTTGGCTTTTCCCTTTTAAATCATTTTGATTAGAAGCAAAGTTGGTTTTCGGAATCTTATATACCACCAAATTTGATGGGATCTGTGGTTTCGTTTTGGTTTCTTCATGAAAATATTTTAGCAATGCATCCCACTGTTCAATAAACCTTCCTAGCACTCTGCCTAAGGATAGCCATCTCGTGCATACATGTTTCAGAATTTTTCTCGTTTCACCAGAGCACAGTTCTTGAAAATTCTTTAGGTTTTCTTTCCTTTTTACACTTTTTCCAGATAGAAAAACACATCAATCAGAAGCTGGGCAATATTTAATGGTAAAGCAGCGGCAGCTTTTTCTGCTGCCAAATTAATTAAGTGGCATGGGCATCCAATAACAATTAATTCATTTTGTTCTTTTTTGAGGAAAGAGGCTAGACCCTTTTTGTCACCCAACATGATATGAGCATCATCTGCACCAAATGAAATGCAGTTTGATATTGGGATGTTAAGTTGTTTCAACTCATTAATTACCAAGGAGGCAATATTTTCCCTCGTAGCATCTCCATTTAACAATGGAAGACTCAAAAGATGAGTTTTCATTTCATTGGAAACATCACAGAAATATGTGACAACAATGGGGTAAAGCTTCCAATCGCTGTCGTTGCTACCATCCATTGACACAGAAAATGCTGAATTCTGGAGTGCAGCTATCGTTTTACTTTGTGGATCGCAAGCAATTTCGTTCACAATAGAAGATGTTTTCGTGCGAGCACAAGCATATTTCTGAGCAATCTTGGAGTCGGGGAAACATCCGTCTGAAAAGTTGACCGGCGTGATCGGCAGCGCTTATCGGCACGTTGTGTTTGATGAGGAATGCAGTAAACAAACACTCTGCCAAAATGACATCGGCATCCGAATTCGTAGCCGAATTTGAAAAAAATTCATCCACTTTCTTTGACGTTTTCGAAGCCGAAGCATTAACTTCATGCTTTTTAGACTTAACATGCTTCACAATGTCGCTTTTTCTTTTTTTTTTTTTTTTTTTTTTTTTTTTTTTTTTTTTTTTTTTCTTTTTCCACCGTGACTTATTATGAAGTCACACACGCACACATTGCAAAATGCATAGTTATTTCCTTTGAAGGATTCTTTAATTGTTGGAAATTCGGCTTTGTAGGCAGGCCGAAAATATTGAGAATAAGGTTTTTTTGAATTCATTTCGTAACAACGACGTACTAAGAAAATTCGTAGCATGTGGGGGGGGGGAAACAATAATAAATAATCCCACGAAGAAAAGAGTGGGAGAAACAAGTTCAGCGGCGAGTTGGGAGAAACAGCAGGTTACTGGATTCGAAGTAGTCGGTAGTTGGCGATGCAATTGGCAAAAATCGCTGAATTGGCGAAAAATTCTAAAATTTCGACAAAAATCACTAAAAACACTTGAAAAAGGAAAAAAATCGTAAAAAATGGATTACGATCGTAAAATTGTAAAGACAAACGCATTTTCGTAAAAATTACGAAAAATTCGTAAAAGTTGGCAGGTATGTTGTTGGTAAAGTATGTGGTTGTCAGCAGAGTTTATGATTTGGATCGTGGTTTTGGTATAGTAAGTTAACTTTGGAGGAAGTTTTTATTATTACTTTCGAAATTTTGAATCTCAGAAAGACACGTGATATAGCAAAATCGTGGCACTTTTGTTCAGAGATGTTGTGTGACTGGCAAAATTTTATTCAGGAATGTATTATGGTAAGTGCATTTTATTTTACTGTTATTATTTTGAGAATGTTATGTTCATTGTTTTTTTTTTTTTTTTACTATGGATTTTTGTCGTTATTGTTGTTTTCTGAATTGTTTGTAACTTAGTTTAGTTTATCTGGTTGATTTGTGCACAATGCCTAGCTTGTGCAATTCATAGATGATTTTTTTAAAGTTTAAACAGAATACTGTGTACATGGTATTCTTTAAAATTTATTGTTATGTTGTTGAAATTTATTGTTATGAAGCGAGATGTGCGTAGTTCGTAGATTTCTTCGCTGCCTAGAATGAGCAATTCGTAGATTTTTTTTTTAAGTTAAAACATATCGCTGTGTACATGGAAGTCTTGTCAAATATTTTTGGTTAGAAATTTTATGTTTTTACTATCTACATTTTTTGTTTTTGTTTTGGATTTTTAGCTTAAATTCGTCTTCAAAACTTACTTTTTGCATGTACAAAAAAACGCGTTTTTGGAGACATTTTAGGCTTAAAATTCAAAATGTAGACAAAAAATTTAGGTAGTAATATGGCGGGAGTTTCTCGCCAAACTCAAATTTAGGGACCTGAGGGCGCATATAAGAGTAGTTCCAAAATGAGTATAAAGGGTGATAATTAATCCAAAGTTGACCAAAAGATACACTACAAACTATTTTTATGACAGACGTGTATTATGAAATAAAAAAGGCCAATAAATTAATACTATTATATACACGTTTCCCCTTTAAGTTCAGATACAAATTTGAGCAGATATAGTACAACAAATTATTTATGTTTGTCACATTCTTGCCACTAGGTGGCGGGCATCTCTTCCTTTACTTTTGCTGTAATTAAGTTCCGAGAAGCAGTCGAGACTGGAACCGCTCTGAGGAGCGTAAAGACTCAGAACTAAAAATGTACTGTCTTAAAATAATTATCACCTACCTTGTAAATAGTGTATATTAGCTTTTTATTCCAATAAATAATTAAAAGACAAGATGGCCTGCTAATTGTAATAGAAACTCTTACTGGAAAACGTGATTATTAGAAGCCTGGCGTCGAGAACACTGAAGATGCAGCAGGTAAGGAATTTTACATTAATTTTATTGTAAATAGAAGAACCTGATGCAACATTTTTATGGCGCCCGAACAGGGACGCCAGGTTTTTTGAAAAGTTCTAATAAAGTGAATTCAAAAGCTGAATATTAAAATTGAAGATTTTAATACTTGTTCTTGAAGTATTCAGCAAAAGAATAATTTTGTTTTCTAAGTAAGAGTTAAATATTTTGTTTTTCATGAGACGTATATTTTTTGTGTAAATGTTTGAATCTAAGAAAGATAATGGCTGAAGTAGATAAATTAAAAAAGAAAAGAAGTATCTTAAGAACTGCCGTTACAAAACTATTTAAGAAAATCGAAAGTGAATTAAATAAATCTGAAGGTAGTATTAATGAGCTCGAAGAATTGTTAGAACAGCTTAATGCTAAAACCGAAACGCTATCTAAT